AAAGGTTACTTATCGTACGTTACGCGAGGTTTTGAATTGTGGAGCGACAGAGTCGCAAACTTCCGAACCCAACAATAGGTTAGGTTCAGATGGAATTTTTACAAGTCTTACAAATGGCTCTCAAAATTGGGGTACTGCGCTTACAGTTCTTGCTACAATCGAAACAGGTAGCAATTGCATTACTATCAAATTTGAGTTTAGTCATTAATCTTATTAATTCAAATAGGACTTGAAGATTATAATTAAATCACCAGTCAATGATGCATACACTTGAGTTTTTAGATAATTCGCAAATAAAAAAAAAATCCCCAAAGTTTTAAAAAAATGTTATTAGGATGACACAATTGGCGCTTGGAGTTATAGTAATCGTGATCAAGGATAGAATGTTTCTGATTGTTCTGTTTCATGTCTCGAGGCTGTACTTAATATTCAAAATAAACTTAGTTATGCTTTATATATAAAATTTTAATATTTAAAGTCAATTATTGAAAATTTTTTGTTTTTACTTTTTTGCATAAAATAGTTACACACTAAAGTTAGTATCTAAAGAACGACTTTGTCAGACCATTGACATATTATTAGCTATGCAAAACTCTGATAGTGGATTTGGGAGTTATGAACGTATTAGAGGTTCAAACATTTTGAAACGGTTAAATCTTTCAGGAACTTTTAAAATGTAATGGTTGAACATGATTACCCAGAATGTACATCTATTATTCTAAATGCTTTACATGCTTTCCAAAAACGGTATCCGGATTATAGGACTACTGAAATAGAGTAAAGTTTTTATTTTAAACATAATTTATAAATATATTATTTATTTATATAATAACACTTCTTTTGTTAGACAAGTTTCCAAAAAAGCAATTCAATACCTACACAATTCTCAATATTATCATGGTGGTTGGTATGGATCTTGGGGCATTCGTTTCACTTTTGCTACTATATTTGTTATACAATGGTTGAAAAATTAACGAAAATAGGTATTATACCCAAAAATAATCTTAAATTATGGAAGAAATAAGCCATCTTACAAATTTTAATGTCTATTAGCCAGGTAGTTAAAAAATGATGTGACTATTTAATTTCTAAACAAAAAGAAGACGGTGGTTGGGGTGAATCCTGTAAAGTTCATATCATTATATTAATGTTTTATTATATTTATTATATTCTAGATTATTGATTTTCAAATTTGCTTTTTTTATATTTATTATATTCTAGATTATTGATTTTCAAATTTGCTTTTTTTATAAATAGTCATGTGTTACAGAAACTTATATACATCATGAAAACTCACAAGTTTTAAACACAGCTTTTGCATTGATTGCTTTAATGGCAGGTTAATACCCAAATGAAGAGCCTATTCGACGCGGTATCCAGGTATATAAATAGATTTTTACTAAAAGTGCAGCGTTTTTCTACGTATTTTTTTAATAGAGGATTAGCATTAATATATAATTATATTAATTAAAATCATCTTTTGCAGCTTATTATATCACGACAATTGCAAACTGGAGAATGGAAAACAGAATATGTTGAAGGAATAATTAACAATATTACGGTTACTTATTTAGCATATAAATTTATTTTTCCTATTTGGGCATTACGCATGTATGCCAAAATTTATAATAAACCTATAATTTTTTAAAATATGCATTACACATTTTTAGATTTACAATTATAAAATAATATTTGTATGTTGTAACAATTTCATAATTAACAATATTATGGATACCTATCCAGCATATAAATTTATTTTCCTATTTGGGCATTAAGCATGTATGCCAAAATATATTGATGAAATTGTGATTTTTTGTAATTGAATTTGTAGTTTGAATTTGAATAATTTGGGTTTATTGTACCAGTACGATCATATGAAATATGAGAGGGATGGTTCCGTTCAACTTTTTGGGCGTGGCCTAGCAAATTTTGAAAAAATCCTATTTTAGAAGGGGTAATGATTTTCATTTATCCATTTTCAGAAGGAGTTAAGATTTTTACATACCGTATGACATAATTTCGCATGTAGATTACTCAATTATGATGCAAAGCTGGCATCTCAAAATTTATCTCATTATGATGCAACAAATTTTTATGTTATTAACAAAATTTAATTTACCATTGGTTATTTCATAAAATGATTCCAGTCGTTATGGTTCTGCTCATTTCACTGATACTCGTTTTAAACACAACATTTATCAAAAATCAATTCATCAACATGTCCATTTACCCGATACTTACAGCTGTTTTCATAAATGCTGGGACACCTAAAATTTTAGTGTTTCCTGAAACCTTTTCGATCCTGTTCTAAGAATCATCTAACTTTTCAGAAACCACTTTGCTGTCTCCATAGTGAAATCTCAAGGTCAGTGAAGTAGTTTTCGAAAAGTTAAGTGATTCTTAAAACAGGATCAAAAAGGTTTCGATAAACAAGAAAATTTTTAGGTGTTCCAAAATTTATGAAAACAGTCATAATTCACTGACAAGCTCATTCACTGACATTCAATTCACTAACAATCAATTTACCGACAAAGTAATTATATCAGAATTATGGTTAAGGTTAGTGAATTTAACTTGTCAGTGAATTGAATGTCGGTGAATTAAGCTTGTTGGTGAAATGAACATGTCGGTAAATTGATTGTTAGTGGAGTATTGTGTCTACGAAATGAGTGTCAGTAAAATGAGGTGGATCTTATAATCATTAGGGTTAGGTAGAATAAAGGTTAGTGCAAGTTTTAAAAAACTTGTAGTGAAATTTTAACTTATGTTTCTTTTTTGAGCTTGAGTTTCATTTTTCACCACTTATTATTTTCATTATCTTCATAATTATAGTTATTAAGAATTGGTAATATAGTTATTATCTGATTTAATTTACTTGGTAAAAATTATTGAGAAAGTATAGGTTGTGTTGGAGAAGTTATGGAGTCTAATTCTACTAAAGCAAAAAAAAAACTAGAAACTAATAATAGAAGAAAGCAAAAAAAAAAAAAGATAATAGGTAAATTGATTTCCTTGAGCTTTTTACAACAGCATACATGATCGTACTGGTCCTGCGCCACGTCACACACTGTGCAGCTACCCTAATTAATTAATAATGTAAATTTTAAACTGTATAGATTATTAATAAAATTTGAAGATTAGTAAATATATATATTTTTATTATCAGTAGTTTTGTTTTTAAGATTAAATAAATTGGGCTAAATTAAGTAGATTAGGACAATTAAAGAGTTTAAAAATATGATTCATGGAGTGTAAATTAATATGAATTTAGTTGTTAGTTAAAAGTAAGTAATTTGGTTATGAGAATTATACGTATTGGAATGTGCAATTCAGGGCTTTTGAACTAATTTTTTTGATTTTAAGAGTATATTTATTTGATGCATGTTTGTTGGATATAGTTTTAACGAGCTATGTAATGAATGTGAACACGTAATATGTTTATTATTTATACATGTATATTTTTGCAATTATTATTTCATGGCTATGTAAAATTAATAATTGTGCTCATAATGAGGCTTAGTGAAAATAGTATACAGGTTGTGATGTTTAAGAGATACGTGTGATATATAACAAAATTTTGCTTTAGTATAGAAGATTAAGTATTAGTTTCTATATTAATTAGTAATAGATAATAATAATATCTATCTATAAATACTCAGGATATAAAAGTAGTAGCATCATTTTTTTCTTATGTTTTTTTTATAAAATTTAATTAGTAATCTTGTTAATACTAGGTTAATATATAGCATTGTGTGTCCGAAGCCTATTAACATTTTTAAAATATATAACAAGTTATTTAACCAAATTAAAAAAAGTTACTTATAAAACTACTTTTAATACTTTAAAAAAATTTTTTATTTATAATTTTATATAATTTTATTTAAATTTCTTTTTAACTTCTTTTAATCTAGTTTCAATATTAAAACTTATATCAGAAATGAACATAATAAGTATATAAATTATTTGTTTGCATTAATTTTAAATTTGATTAGTTTGCATAATTTTATTAATTACATTTTGATTATTTTTTATACATAAATTTATTACATATATGAATCATATATGTAATTACAAAGTATTATTTAAATAAAAATATAAAGTTAGCATAGTTATAATAACTAACAATAATAAAAGCAAAAATTTTAGACTTGCAAATTTGTACTTAATATAGATTAATTTGTCTATTTTTTTAATATTTAATATTTTTTATTATTTTTTATAAGATTTTTTATTAAGTTGATTAAATAATAATTAATGTATTAGAAGTGTAATAACTTAGTAAAGTGGATAAGTTGTTAACTCTCCAAGTAGTAGTTTGGGTTCAAATTCTGTCAATGTGAAAATTTGAATAATTACTTATATACTACTTGTATTATAATAACTGTTTCTAATAATTGTATTAAGATACCTGTAATAGCAGTTATACTAACATGTCTGTCAGGTTATAAGATATTTGTATAACTGATTATACAAAGAAATACAAATTGACATCAGGCAATACAAACATTAGATAAGTTCTTATGATAATATAAATCTATTGAAATTGGAAGCAAGAAATTTATTTAGAAAAACATAAATAGAAAGATATTACAAATTTTCAATATTACTACTATAAAAACTAGACTACTAGAAACAAATAGTACTAATAAAATTTTTAATAATATACCAAAATTTTATTAAATTTTTAGGATATATAAATTAAAATAGTTTATTTATTATAATAAAAATTATAATATATATTATTTTAAAAAAAACTAAACTTGTATATATTATAAAAGCCTTGATAATTAATCCAAATTCTTAGTATTAATGTTCTAATTAGTTAATTATAATATATTTATAATACTAAATCTTTAAATATATTCAAAACTCTTTCCAACGATCCCTCACACCAACTTTTTCAAAAAGACAGACCTATGAAAACTATATAATTATTATATTAAATATAACAAAACTCTACTTTAGATTAACTAGGGAGGCTATTTACTGCATGTTTGGTTGTAACTGAAAAGAGCTGAAAAAGATTCGAACCCTTGTAAGTGAAGTCCCTTGG